TCTTCCAGACGTCCCTCTGATTGCAGAGGATGCTGTTCTAAGAGTAACTCGGGAAATGTCGGAAGAATGTTCAACCGAGCAGCAAAACGTCCAGGCGAACTCCGATGGACTAGTTGTTTTTTTGTTCAGTACATGGCATTCTCCGTCACTGGGGTGGTTAAGAATGACGGTAACAGCTGATTGTTGAAAACTTCTCTCAGCTGCGTTGAAATCAAAGCCAAGGAGAATCACGACGGAAGTATAACCAGTCACAGTGTTGTGAATTGCAGTGCGCATGCAGTTTCCGAAGATTGTACTTCAGTATGCAGTCAGTGGGTACGACAGTATCCAATTGCCAAAGCCGTAGTATCGGCTGTTCTTAGGGGCCACACTCGGAGCCAATGGAGGAATAGCCTGATTAGTAAGACCACTAGGCAGAGCTCGGAGTCCACAGTCCACTGAATGCTGGACGCCATAACCGCAGTTCATACGTCCTTTGGATAGCGAGGGTGCCAGTGTATACACTATGAACACGTGTCTACGAGAGATAAAGCAATTCTATCCCGAGTTACATGCAGACATAAATCGAAGGCAATGCGTATCCCTTGTTGGGGAAAGGCTTTAATGACGTCCGAGGAGAAAATGTCTGACATTCTGTAAATACAAAGCAGCTTTTTTCCATTTATATATCGTCAGGGGCCTTTTGAATCACACTTGGATCCTGAAGCTAACTGCTTATTGGAAGGGATGAACTACCTGTTACCTAAATGGATTCACGGGTGATAGATTGCGTTTACTGTTATGCGCGCTTTGCACAGTGAAACTGATAGCTCCCTCAGTTTGTCAACATCCACTTCCCCTTACGGATTCAAATGTTGCCGTTGGTGATTGACCGGTTCGGGTCTACTGTTCCTAATAATGGAAGCGACATGGAGACGGTATGCCATAAATTTGTCCTCAACGAGGAGCGAATTGAGCAAACAATCGGGGCGAGTGACTGTGCGAAAATTGTCTAGGTGGCAGCAAAGCGGAAACACGGGCAAGTGAATAGAGTAGATTTACATCGCGGGTAGATGGACGAGGCAACGTGTGGAATGCTATATGAAAGTGTGGCAACTACTGATCCGAATGATGCGATGAATCGTGGAATAATTTCGCCTGAGCGACAGAATTACGTTGCCCAGAGCTCGATCACAAAAAGAGCAAAAGACGTATCCACACGGCAAACTCGAAAACACTTCACATGAGGTCAGGGGAGCACTGGCCTACGAAAATGATATGTTTCAAAACGCAGGCGGGAGTTGTTATGATACCCGAAGCTGTGAATCCTTTATACTACCGAGAAGTGCTCTGGAGCAGAAACGCGTGACACAACTCTTCCTGGGTCACGTTATTCTTGTCACTTATTTCCCCCCCGTAACTAAGTCAAGCACACTCAACCTAACACTGACGTCATGCTGTCGATGATGACGACGGCATTTGCTGGCTTAGTCTGGTCAATGCAGTAGTCAGGTGGTTATTCTTAACTTTTGTTCCTGATGGGGAACCCAAAATGCATCGAACACTTGGCGGTGAAGAAGCAGATGTAAGTGCGGAGACAGAATGCTGCTGAGAAAGCAATTCACTAGCCGTTTCACTCCAACTGTCCTTTGTCACCAGGACGTAACAGGATCTGTCACGCAGCGCTTTGGTTAACGGTCTTCTTCGATGGTTGCAGGTGGGTAAGCAGGAATCGGAGTGACTTTGTCAGAAAAGTTGACAACAGATGGGCGTAAAAGGGTTACTAATAACACTCAAGTAGGGTGCAGTGAGTGTCTGCCATCTGGGCTTGCATTTCAAGATAACCGTACACCCTCATGAAGAGCATAGTTTTTTGTCCAGGGTTGCCCAAAATATGAGTCGTAAACGTGTTAATTGATTCAGAAAATATGCGACATGGTAAGACACACTGGACATCTACAGGCTGGAACAAAGCTTCAGCTAGCTAGGGAGAAAAAGCGAAAAGTCAGGACCATTAGCACATACCAGTTGTCAGTAGACGAATCCACTTTGGATGACAGCCATGCCATTACCTAAACCGATCAAGTGGTTCCTGTTTACTCGTGAAACCGAAGAAACCTAACCTGAATGGGCTATGCATCCACAAAAATTCCGCGAAGGGAAGCATTAGTTTACCCTGACAGTTAACAGAGGAGTTTGTGAACTGAGTGAACTGACGACCACAACAGCTACTAAGGCCGTGATGTCCAAACCGGAGGGTTGGAACGAGCAAAGTCAACGAGCAGAGTAAAGCTCCATTTTAGGCTTCTGAGCTCGTCAATTTTTGGGCCGGTTGGTCTACAACGCTGAAGTCAATCCTACTTGGTGTGCAGGCACTGATCACTGAGTCACGGAATATCAATAGATGGCTTATCAATAATAAACAATGTTGAGTACAATATGAAAAAACATGTACAGACGTAATACACTACTCAAAACGTTACTGATAATTCTTCGACAGAGCAGGACCGGTTTCACCCATTTCGGGGCTCATCAGGTAGGCGCAGTATTACGGCTATAAATATATCGCGATACCTCGAATATCGTACCAACTGAAACGTGAGGCGCCTTGGTGCAGCACATTCAGTTGTTTAGAAACACCATAAACGAGAGATTCCGCTGGGTTCCAGATGAGTCTCTCGCAAAACCAAATTTGTTTGCAAATGGATGTATTTCGCTAATTAAAGAGAAACATGTATGAGATAAAAACCATGGGATGACCGACCATATGATTATCTCGCCCGCGACTTTCTAATCACGACCGTAGGCAGATTGTGGCTTTAATTCATAAAAGCGGCTGCCCAGATAAACACAAACGACTGCTTAACTAAAGGAAACTACTCACAAGGTTGCTGAAAACTCTTCGACAGCCCACGACCGGTTTCGCCCTTCATGAAAACCAAATTGATTTGCAAATGAGTGTATTTCCCGAAGACTGCTTATCTGGTCTATGGAGTCTATTCCGTGTTCACTGAAAGCGCAGGAAGCATAGGTAGCCGAACGATAAAAAGTCCGCAAACTTCACGCACCACTTACCTTGGCATCGGTACAAGAGAGAAAGTGCTTGAATACGCTGCACTGAGACACAACGGGATGCCGACACATTCGATCCAGCCATTGTTGAAGTTGTTTGCGACGCTCCTCCAAAAAGTCATCTTCGTATCTACCTAGATGAGGAGCGATGGCAGCAGATGTAAACACAAGACTGAACCGAACCGACAACACAGCTTTACTGTTTTTCGTTCCTGCCGTCAGCACTCCCCTGAAGTGAACTTGCCTTATAACGACCATTCCACAAGAACACTTCAAGGGGACATTTACAATTTGTAGGAAACGCTTATGGTGCAGAAAATCTACTCAGTTAACAGTGACAGAAACCGATCTTCGCATACTTTTGAATGGATTTCGTTATAAGGATCCAAAACCACTGTAGGATGTGATCGATTTTCGCGTATAGAACGAACCATGCTGGTTGTGGCCATATATGGGATGGAGAACATGTTCACAAATTGTAGTTCATGGCCCCATCTATTGTGACGCCTTCCTAGTGCAA